CCCCACAAAGGAGTTTTGCTGAATGTTTTGAACTGTCCTCCAATTTATAGGACATATTGTGGGGTTGGAACATCTGGTAAATTATTCTCGGAAAATAAACTAAGTCCTAGTCCAGAATGTATATTTAAGCCTGTAACCATTTGTTTGAATCTATGTTAGGCCAAGAGCATGGTGGTCTGGGAGTCCTGGTGGCGCAGTGGCTAAGAGCTACCACTAACCAAAAGGTCAGCAGTTTGAATCCACCAGCTGCTCCTTGGAAACCCTATAGGGCAGTTCTACTCTGTCCTACAGAGTAGTTATGAGTCCATATGTTCCCTGCATTACAAGGCCTAAAACTTCCACTGCTGCCTTGATATCTTTGAACCTCATAGGGCCCCAAAGACCTCACCATGAGTTCCCCTGTTCTCACCAGATATGCTCTCTATCCAACAGGAAAGGATGCCCACCTGACTAGTTCCCCTATCAACCTGACCAGCTGTACTTCACCTGTTCCTCAACCTAACAGGTCTCACTTCCCTCCAGTCTGTGGAATTACTCAAACAAGCCTGTCACATTCCGCAGGAACCAGGGGGCACTCACCCCCTTGTTACTACAAAACCGGCCTCTGGACAGCCCCTGCTGCTTCCCTCTGTTCCCAAGTGCAGCCTCCACGTGGTGCCGCCTGGCACACGGTATCCTCCTCCCCCAGGCTGTGAGTGTATGTGACTAATAAGCCACTGTCACTCTCATCTATGCAGTGTCGGGTCTTGTGTGTTTGGCCGTCTCATCCTGTTTAGGGTGGGGGATCCCTCCACCAATAGGGTAGATAGGAGTGGTCAGAACAAGCCCATTTCATACCAGATTTGAAGAGGATTAAAATGGATCCCTTTTTAGTACCATCTTGTATCATTGAGATCTTCCTTAGGAGGAAGTCTCCTTTCTTAGCATCCTGTCTAACTCAGGACAATAGGATTCTGACAACTCCTTCCTTGAATATTTCCCCCCTCATCCCCAGCCTCGTAAATCGAGCCCTCCTGTGACATCTCAAAGGCTCTATTGCTGTACCTTCTACCAGCACTGGGCACATACTTGATCCCTGCTGCTGGAATGCCAATCTTCTGCCTCCACGTGGCCCCCTTCTGTGTCTGGGACCAGCACTCACTAGATGTGAAGTCTACACTGTTCGAATGACATTAAAAGCCCTTGGTGAAACTGTAACCCTCGGGTCAGCAGGAAGACCTTCAGCTTCTCAGAATTTAACAGCTTCATAAAATTCATTCATTGTACAGGAATTCAGTCTTCCATTGATTTCTACCTATCCTGAAAATGGATTACAGAAAGCCCTAGCTTTGCTCCTTTTAACCCATGGGACAGTTCTACTCTGTCCTATAGGGTCGCTATGAGTAGGAGTTGACTCAATGGCAATGGGTTTTGGTTATTATTCATTTTATTAGTTAGAGCCCATTCTTGTTTCAGAGAAACACCTCAGGCATCACATCCTGGGATTTGTCACATTTTTATCTGTGACTCATGCTATAATCAGTGAATCAGTGTGATAGAGGCTACTAGTCATACGCATCACTTTCTTCTGCTAGGAAAGGAGACAGGATTCCCTATCGACCCGGGTGCTCACACCCAAGCCCCCTTTGTCATCATCGATGCGTGACTCCCCATACTCAGTGGCAGAGAACAGCTTCTTCACCCTTCTTCAGTGGGCCCTGCTCAGAGCTCACACAGCGTGTAGCTGAGTCAGGCACTGCTGATGTGCTTATACACGCATTTAGTCCTCACGACAAGACTATCTGGTGGGCTCTATTACTGTCTCCACTATGAAAGGCTCTATTACTGTCTCCACTATGAAAGAAGTTAAGTAGCTTGCCCACGGTCACCGAGTTGGACCCCAGCCCCTGGCCTCAGCGTCTGTGCCCTAGGCCCCTATGCCAACCCTTATGCCAAGGCAGGAGGTGCACCAGCCAGGAGGCCATGCGGCCACCTCTGGGAGGAGATGATGTACATCTGAACAACATTCATCTGGGAATTTGTGATGTGAACAATAAATTTCAACGTTATCTCATTGAGTGTGACAAGAATCCCAGAGTTAGGAGACAGGCCCTGTTTTGATCGCTATTTTACTCATGAGGAAATTGAGGGTTCGAGGGGCTTGATTTGCCCGAGTGGGTAGGTGGAGGAGGCAGGATGGGAACATAGCCCTCCTGTCTCTAAGCTGGTGCTCTCCACCACACCTCCCAGAAGCAAGTCTTCCCACAAATGCTGGGGCGGAGCCCACTGGGTCTCATCTGATCATATTGAAGAAGCTCCCTGTGCCCGAAACACCTTTTGCACCTGCCTACCCTCTTGTTGAAAACCCCAGTGCCGTAGTGGTTAAGTCCTATGGCTGCTAACCAAAGGGTAAGCAGTTCAAATCCACCTGGCACTGCTTGGAAACTCTATGGGGCGGTTCAACTCTGTCCTATAGGATCACTATGAGTTGGAATCAACTTGATAGCAATGGGTTTTTTAACCCTCTTGCTTGAAATCCCTCCATTAAACCAGCAACCAGATGCCATCAAGTCGACTCTGACTCATGGTGACCCCATGTGTGTCAGAGGAGAACTGTGCTCCATAGGGTTTTCAATGACTGATTTTTTGGAAGTAGATTGCCCGGACTTTCTCCCAAGGCACCTCTGGGTGGTCTCAAACCTTCAACGTTTTGGTTAGAAGCCGAGCGCTTTAACTGTTGGCACCTCCCAGGGACTTCAACCCCCTGCCCCTACATTGGGGTCACTACTTATCCTCAGCATCTGGGCTTGAATAGGTGCTGCTCACAAACGACATGTTGAAAGAAAGAACGGGCTTGTTCTGGGTAAGGAGTTTTTCCCAGAAAATCCCAGTTAAAATGCAAATGTGTTGTCTGGCAGAGAAGCCTGGAATTTGTTTATTGGTTCCCTTCCAGAAAGCAGGCCTTTAAGGGAAAAGGACTTGGGGGGACTAAAAGAGAAAGGGAGGGGAAGCCCTGGAGTTTAGGGAAATGCTCAGGGGAGGGAGTGCCCTGGGGAGGTGAGGCAAGGCCTGGGGGGCTCTGAGCCAGTGCTGTGGAGGCGAGAAGAGGAAGTGTCCTGGGACTTGCAGCCATGAATGGGCCCTGCCCGCTTCAGCTTCATCGGGAGCTGGCCCCGCGGTACAGTGAGTCTGCCCACCTCCACAGAGAATGGGCGAGGCCCACTGGCTGAGTGTAAGGGCCAGATTCACCCGACGTCCTGGATAAGGGCAGAAAGAACAGGTTTCCCTAACAGAGCCCTGGGAAGGAGTTTTTTTACCCATTGTTCTCTCCTGCTGGCAACCTTGATGGCCACAGTGGTTAAGAGCTACAGCCCAATAGGGCTGCCACCACCGCTCCTTGGAGACCCTATGGGGCAGCTCTACCCTGTCCTATAGGGTCGCTATGAGTCGGAATCAACTCGACGGCAGTGGGTTTGATTTTTTACTCTCTCCTGTTAGATTGAGTGTCTCCCCTCCTCCATGGAACAGTCAATTGTGGAAGTGGAGGCAATGTCCCAGCACTAATCTCTCTGCCCCCACCCCAGGTTCCTCGGGCAGGAGTTCCATAAACATGGGCTGAGCTGAACTGTTTCTGTGGTCAAGGAGGCAGTGGCGGCAGGCCTCTGGGGTAGCCTGGTTTCACCCCTGGCTATGGGGGGTGCAGAGAGGTGACAGCCTCCGTCACTCAGGGCTGTTCTGCCCCCTTGGCCCAGACCCTGTGGTGGGGAGCGCAGTAGAGAACTGTGGCCCCTCTGGTTTGAGGCCATCTCCGGCTGTGGGCTCCAGGGGAGAGCCCACAGCCTCCACTCTGGTTACCTGACGCTGTGGAGCCTTGGGGAGGAACCCCGGCGGTAGAGCAGAAATGGTCAAAACCGCACAATAATTCAAACACAACCAAAGTGTACAGGATAAAAGAACGCGTCTCCTCTCTCCTTCCAGTCCTCTTCCCCTTCCAGAGGTACCCTGTCAACGGTCGGGCAAACTGTCTCCCGGACATTTTTCTATGCATTTACACACACACACACACACACACACACACATATATACGAATATACCTATATATATGTATGGACTTCCTGGGTGCTGCAAATGGTTAATGTGCTCGGCTACTATCTGAAAGGTTGGAGGTTTGAGTTCACCCAGAGGTGCCTCGGGAGAAAGGCCTGGCAAAAAATCAGCCATTTAAAACCCTATGGAGCACAGTTCTACTCTGATACACATGGGGTTGCCATGAGTCAGAGTCGACCCCACAGCAACTGGCTATACAAATACATGTAAAATATATAAATATATACGATAATGGGTTCGTGCTCTACATGCTGTTTTGTGGCTTACGTTTTCCATTTAAACACACTGGACACTTTCGCTATCAGTTCGCACAAAGCTGCTGCAATCTTTTGAAAATAGCTGCATTGTCTTTCATCACAGGGACATATGGGACATACTGGGAAGTACTAAGCCAGCCCCCCACTGATGAACACTGCAATTGTCTCCAATTTTTTGTTGTTGCAAACGGCGCTAAACGAACACTTACGTAAGAGTATCTTGTGCAGCTGCACCAGCCTCGTTCTTTAAAGAGCTCCCACCGACCATTGTACTTTCTGACCACCGCCTTTATTTAGGAAGAGAAAACACTTGAGCGTGTTTCTCCTGGGGAGAGGAGCTTGGCTTCAGAAACCTAGCTTCAAGCTGCCCTCCAAGCCGTGCCAGGGCAGCGGATGAATTGCTTCCCGGAGGTTTCTGCGCCACACTGTAAACGAGAGCGACATCGAGGGAAACTCCTGACCCCACAGGGGCGCCGCCCAGGCCGGCCTCTCGCCTCTCATTCCGGGGAACCGAGGCATCCCTGCATCATTTTCTGTAACGCCAAAGGAAATCCCCGGAGAAGGCGGACACCCACCATTCACCCACAGGGCGCTCCCCCGCTCCCGCCGAGATAACGCACCGACGCTGGTTTAAGCACGTTGCTCAATTCTTCCCCGGTGGCCAAAAAAACCTCTCAGCTCACTGCTGCCGCCGCCGCAGGCAGACACAGCACTTCCTAGAAAATCGCCATTCCGTTTACTGTTTATTCTTTGGAGGGTCACTTGTTTCCCATCAGCTCTTGCAGCGGCGAAGGTGGATTTCTCAGCACATCTCATGAGACGTCTCCATGAATGGGAAAAGAGGTTCGTCGTGGGGTGGTGTTATGTATAAACTATGTTATTTCTTCCAAGACAGATTTGTTCATTCTTCTGGCAGTCCATGGTATACTGAATATTCTTCGCCAACATCATAATTCAAATACATCGATTCTTCTTCAGTCTTTCTTATTCATTGTCCAGCATTTGCATGCTTATGAAGTGATTGAAAATACCATGGCTTGAGTCAGGCGCACCTTAGTCCTCTAAGTGACATCTTTGCTTTTTAACACTTTAAAGGGGTCTTTTGCAGCTGATTTGCCCAACGCAATACGTCATTTGATTTCTTGACTGCTGCTTCCATGGGCGTTGACTGTGAATCCAAGCAAAATGAAATCCTTAACAACTTCAATCTTTTCTCCGTTTATCGTAATGTTGCTTACTGGTCCAGTTTTGAGGATTTTTGCTTTCTTTATGTTAAGGTGTAATCTATTGTTATTATTAGTTCCTTCCTCTTTTTGACAGACTTTGTCTTTTAGAGCAGTTTTAGGTTTACAGAAAAAGTGCAGGAAGTACAGAGGGTTCCCATATGGCCCCTCTCCCCTTGCACACTGTTTCTCCTACTGACATTGTACATTCCTGTGGTGCATTAGTTACAATTGATGAACCAAGATTGATACATTATTATTAACTAGAGTCCTTGGTTTATATTACTGTTCACAATTTATGTTGTACAGTTCCTTATTATTTTTAATAACTTTTTTAAAAAAACCAAACTTCATCCTAATTAATAGCTTAAGTAATGAGTGTGGTGCACTAGTAGTATTTTTTTAAAGCATATTAAAATTAAAACGAGGCATATCGCCTGGCATGCTTGAGAGTCCTGCACAGTGGCACGTCTTGATAAATGCTGGACTATATTTTATTCTGGAGCCCTGGTGGCACAGCGGTTAAGAGTTCAGCTGCTAACCAAAAGGCTGGCAGTTCAAAGCCACCAACGGCCCCTTGGAAACTCTATGGGGCGGTTCTATTCTGTCCTGTAGGTTCCCTATGAGTTGGAATCAACTCGACGGCAACGCATTTGGTTTTTTGGGGTTTTATATGGTATTCCAGACTCCAGCCTCCTGTTGGGGTGTCTTCTGAGGCCCACAGAGATCAATTACTGTTCAGACGGTGTCATTGTGTTTTTATGTTAACCTTCTCATAGATCCAGAAATTGGAGGTGGGGTAGGGTGGAGACACGATCCACTTTTTGAAAGTCAGAGCAGCTTAACGGAAAATGCGTGGGCTTTGGAATCAGGCCTAGGTACAAATCTTAGTGACACTAGACACGGTCCCTCATTTGTAAAACAAGCACAGTAAGAGCCACTTCATAAACTGGCACAAAGATGAAAGGAGACGACAGATGGCAAGTGCCTGGCTGAGGGAAGGTACCTTCACCTGATGGCACCCAGCATGGTTTCCAGTGCAAGGCCTGAGGGGGTGATCACCCACGTGCAGATGGATCCTAGCAAATGGCAGGGTCTTGTTCCATCAGGATCTTCTAAAGGTAAAATGAAAAAAATCAACAGCCTTTGAAAGAGGTTTCAAATCACGAGAGAGTCAAGTCCCTGAGGTTGAAGATAAGAAAGTGGAACAACCCTGAACTCATTGGGAGATCCTTGGGGGGCTGTCCAGAGTTCCTTGGTGGCACTACTGCTAGTAACAACTACTACTAATCGGTAGTTCGAACCCACCCAGAGGTGCCTAGGCAGAAAGGCCTGGTGATCTGCTTCTGAGAACCCTATGGAGGAAGTCGTGCAGCTCTGCTTCGCAACACGTGGGATAACTGTGATTCCAAATCAATTCAACAGCGACGAGTTTGGGGAGACATCCTGCTTGACAGCTTCCTTTGATTATTGGAGAAGCATCAGGAGAAGCTCTCTCTGCTGTCCAGAGCTCTTGTACCTCGCATTAGAACCAAGAGATGATTTAAGGGTTAGAAAATAAGATAAAATATTGGGCAACCCTCCTGAAAAAGCGAAAGACGAGGTCCAATTTCAGAACCTTCTTTGAATGTGAAAAGGCAGCAGAGCGTCACGGTGACGGTGTGGGCCTGGATGGGCCTGGACCCGCTGCCTGGGTTTGACTCCTATCTCCACCACTTGCTAGCCTAGGTCAGCAAGATCAAAGGTCCAGAGGTGGGGGTGTGGCTGCAGTGTCAGGGACAGCAAGGAGGCTGATGTGACCAGAGTGGACTGAGCAAGGAGGAAGGGCGGCATTTGCAACATCTTCTGTGGTACAGCCACATAGACCACAGTGGCAATGGTGCCCCCAGAGTGGGGGGAACTGGGCTGGGCAGATGACAGTTGGCGGGAGATAGTATAGGACCTCGAAAGCCGTTGTAAAGACTTTAACTATTACCCTGGAATGGGAAGGCATTTGAGGGTCGTTAAGCAGAGGGGTGATGAAATCTGACTTATTCTGTTTTTCCCGATTTAAATTAGCCATATCACAGAGCTACAGTCTATTTCTCTAGGTCTAAAAGAGAGGCCATGGTAAACCAAAAACGAAACCTCTTACCTTTGAGTCGATTCTGACTCATGATGATCCCATGTGTTACAGATTAGACCTGAACTCCATAGGGTTTTCTTGGCTGTAATCTTTACGGAAGCAGATTGCCAGGCCTTTCTCCCGTGGCACTACTGGGTGGATTTGAACCGCCAACCTTTAGGCTAGTAGTCAAGCACAAACCTACATTATTTGTACCCTAGTCGTAAACAACAGGATTCATTGGCTCCCGTGACTCCACCAGCTCTGCTCACAGCCTCTGGGAAGAGAAGCAGGTGGGAAGGCACAGAACCTGCCCTTGGAGACATTCAGACGTAACCTGAGCTCGGAGTGTGGCTCTGCTCCTTGCAGACCATGTGGTCTTGGACAAACGGGATCCTCAACTTCTTCAGCTGTACAATGGGGATAACTATGTATCCACAGGGCTATTGAAAAGGATTAAATCCAAATGCACAGGAAAATGCCCTAGGCACACAGGAGGCCCACAACCTATGTGACTAGCCTCTGAACTGTGCCAGGATTAGCGGGTGTCTTGGTGCTATTAAGTGGGGCTTCTTCTTGTCTTCTGGGAGTAAGGGGCGCCCTGAGATATGTGACTGTAAACCACATGTCTAGCTGGCAGCACCAGGGGACTGTGGCAATGATATAAAATAGCCATTCTGGATTCGTGAATACACTGGGTGGCGTGTGGCAGAGATGTGAGGGCTCTCTCAAGCTTTTCAGAGCCCGAGTGCAGTGACATTTGTTGCCCTTTTGAGCAGGGGACGGAGAAACCAAAACGCTCATGAGAACCAGAAGGGGTGTCGGGCGCCCCCCTCACTAACCTCCGTTATTTTTGCCCCTCCCTGCCACTCCCGCATGGTCCTCTCCGCCCGCCACGCGGTGTGGGGTCCAGCCCTCCCAGGCCCCGCTCCGGGCTCGGCGGTGGGCAGGTCGGGGAAGGGAGGGCTCCGCACCCGCTGAGCCCCTGCCGCTCGCTCTCACGGAGGCGGCCGCTTAGAAGATGCGCTCCGAGGTGGTGTGCTGAGAAAACAACTCTGCTTCCTGCAGAGACTTGGGAAGCCCACGCCCCTGTCTACCGCTGCACATTTTTGCAGCTGAAGGGGAAACTGTCGGAAATAGGAGTTTCCCTGATGTCATTGGGATGAAGCCGACTGTTTTCTCCCGGAGACACCGGGGAGTTGGCTCAGGAAGGGCTGTGTAGGAAGTGATGCAACTTCGTACAAAGGTTTCTGGCTCTTTACAAAGCCGCCAGGCATTTACTAAATGACCTGGAAGGAAGGTGGGTCCCCTGGGTCTGAGTCAGCTAAACTTTCATCTGCCCTTAAGGCAGTAGAAGTTCCAGTCTTAAGAGTAGAGGCTTTGGAGAAGGGGGTGGGCAGGACAGAGTTGGTGCCCACCCAGGTAGAGCCACGTGAGGACCTTGGAAATCTTCCTTCCTCCTCCCATTCTGCCCTTCTCTATCTAGGCAGAAGGCAACCTCTTTCCTATGGATTCATCTGGGTGCTTCCAGCTCCCTTTATTCATTCTTCTGGCTTGCAGTGTCGTCCCCAGGGGAATCCTTTAAAGATGCCTGGAACACTGAACGGAACCAGGGCTTCTCAGAGAAATGGCTGATTGCTGATCAGGACAGGAAATGTCCAGATTGAGTCGAAGACGTGATTGTGCCAGAAAGCAGGGAAGCTGTTAAAAAACCGGCCCAGGACAAACTAGAGAGTCCCACTGGGCAAAGATGGGGATTTTTTTGCATAAATAAAACCTTGATATCTATTGAAAGATATCAAATGTAGAAATTCATGAGTTTGTAATGATAAAGCAGAACACTTATTGGTCACCCAGAGAGAGTGCCCCTTTCTCTGGAAAATGATAGAGGGAAAAATAAGCATTGCTCCGACCTTTCCTGTGTGAACTATGACTGATGAAGGACAGTCTATCTTTATATCAGATTTCTCCCAGTGAAAGGCAGAAGGAGTAGTGGGATTAGAAAATCATGATTTTGCAATGCCCACCAAAATAATGGATTTGGAAGTGATCATCGGTGGATGCTAAGACTATTTGATGAAAGGTTGACAGGGAACTTTCAAATAGGAAATACAGGGCAAAATCTATGAAGTATTCTTGAAACACAAAAAATTTAAACCTGAATCCGCTCGTCTCTAGATTTGCCCTGTTCAATATGAAAGCCCTATGTGGCCCCTGAACACTTAAAATATGGCTAGTCTGAATTGAAATGCACTTTAGGTGTACAACACACACCTGATTTTGAAGACCTAGTTTATAAAAGCCAGGAGTCCTGGTGGCGCAGTGGTTAAGCACTCAGCTGCTAACGGAAAGATTGGTGGTTGGAACCCACCAGGTGCTCCTTAGGAGAAGGAGGTGGTAACCTGCTTCCGTAAAGATGCCAGCCTTGGAAACCCTATGGGGCAGTTCTGCTTTGTCCTACACGGTCGCTCTGCGTCGGGAACTACTCAGTGGCAACGGGTTTGGTTTCAGTTTTAGTGTATAAAGAGAACGTAAAATCTCTCATTTATAATTTTTTCTATTAATGGTGTGTTGAAATGGTAATATTTTGGGTTAAGTAAAATATCTTTTCATGTGGCTGCTAAAAAACAGCAACAACAGCAAAAAAAAACCCCTGTTGCCGCCAAGTGGATTCCGACCTCTAGAGACCCTAGAGGACAGAGCAGCACCGCCCCATAGGGTTTCCGAGTGGCTGGCGGATTCCAACTGCCGACATTTTGGTTAGGAGCTGAGCTCTTAACCACTGTGCCATCAGGGCTCCAACATTCAAAATTACGTATGTGGCTCCCATTATATTTCTATTGGCGCTCCAAATCTAACCTAGCCATTTACAGAAAGTATCGGTGATAGAGGAACTAGTTAAACAGCACAAGAGGAACTAGCTCGCCAAACTCAGAGTGTGGAGGCATTCTAGTAGACAAATGACTGATTTTCTTCAACAAATAAGTGACATTAGAACAAAGAGGGAGAAGGATGGCTCTAGATTAAAACAGATGTAACAATCAAATGTAGCCTGTGATCTTGTTTCATCCCTAAACAATCCATTGTAACAAGACACTTTTGAAACAATCTGGGCAATCTGAACATTGGGACTGGGTGTAGATAGTATTAAATGTTTATTATTTATTTTGTTAGGTGTCATAATTAAGGTTATGTTTTTATTTCATGTGCTTATCTAGTAGAGACATATATATAAGTATTTGTGGGTGAAATCATATGTCATCTGGGATTTTCTTTAAAATGCTCCAGAATAAAAAAGTATGGGGGAACAGGTGAAACAAGATCGACAAAATGTTGGTTATTGTTGAAACTGAGTGACTAGTACACGGGAATTCATTATATTCTTGTCTCTATTCCTTATATGTTGAAAAGCTCTATATTAAATTTTAATGCCTCATGATTTATTTTTAATGCCTTGGAAAGGTAACACATGGATTGGCTCATTGGGTGAAGGGACACGAAACCTTAGAAAACAGAGTCGAGAGGGAATGAGAAAGAAGTCTGGAAGGCTGTGTGCTTGACACTGAGCTGCAGGTTACAAGTTATACCTAAGTTTCCATGGTGAACACAGGCTCACGAGGGGCCAGCCCAAAGATACGGGTTCTTAAGGAGTGAGGGAAGGAGGGTTGGCAGGGCCCGTGACTATCAGAAGAAGGCCTAAAATGAGCCAGAGGGTCTGCCTGGGGAAGGTCTACTCAGGGCCCAGACAGACTTCACAGGTGGGCACCATAATCCAGGGTCTGGCCCTTTACTGGTATCTGGAAGCAATAAGGCTTTAAATTCATGAGAGAGAATGAACGATTCCAAATCCAGTTAATTAATTTACAAATGAGCTGTAACCATCAAGGATTCAGTATCTACCAGTGGCCCATTGTGGCGAACCATCAGTGGGAGGAGAATAGTTTAGAAGATGGTAGTGGCTGGTATCATCAGGCTAAGACAATTCTAAATACATCTATCTCCACCAGAGGGAAAACTGCCCCGTTGACTGCACATAGACTTTCTTTTTGGTATTAAATCAAAACCATACATGAGTGTGTTCCTAACGTCACCTATGCTGGGAGTCCCTGACTAACCAACCTTCTTCCTCTCTCCATACCTTTAATCAGGTAATGGTTGAACCATTTTATCTCTTTAGAGTAACTTCTCATTTGCATTTTATTTTATAAATCAGCTTTCAGAGAGCAAATCTACTTTCCCATTTCCAAGTTCTAATGGGACCACTCATTTTTTCACTGGGTTGCCCGTCAGGGTCTAGACAAGGGTTGGTATTGAAAATGAACTTTACCCAGTTTGTGATTTCATGTAGCATAGCAGTAAAGAATATGGATTTTTCTTCCTCCATTGTTGGTGGGAATGTAAAATGGTGCAGCAACTCTGGAAAACAGTATGGCAGCTCCTCAAAAAAATTAACATAAAATTCCCATATGACCCAGCAATTCCACTCCTAGGTATATGCCCAAAAGAATTGAAAGCAGGGACTCAAACAGAGACTAGTGTGCTAATGTTCATTGCAGCATTATTTACAATAGCCAAAAGGTGGAAACAACCTAAACGTCCATCAGCAGATGAATGGATGCACAAAAAGTGGCATATACATACAATGGAATATTACTCAGCCATAATGTGAAATGAACTTCTGACACATGGTACAACATGGACGAACCTTGAAAACATTATACTGAGTTAAATAAGTAAAACCAAAAACCCAAACCAGGTGCCATTGAGTCAATTCCAACCACGTGAGTCGCAGAGTAGAACTGCAGAGTAAAACCATAGGATATTCAAGGCTGTAACCTGTCAGAAGCAGATCTCCAGGCCTTTCTTCCAAGGCACTATTGGTTGAGTTCAAACTATCAACCTTTTCGTTAGTAGTCAAGTACTTAACCATTTGCAACGCCCAGGGACTCCAGGGCAGACAAAAAAGGACAAATATCGTAGGATCCCACTTACATGAAATATCCAGAATAGGCAAGTGCATAGAAACAAAAATTTATTAGTGGTTACTGGGTCAGGGAGGAGGGAGAAATAGGGAGATATTGTTTAAGGGATACTGAGTTTCTGTTAAGGGTGAGGAAAAACATTGGAAATGAATAGTGGTAACGATAGCACAATAGGATGAATGTAATTAATGTCAGTGCGTTGTACACGGAATGTGGTTGCAATGGCAAATTTTTTGTTATATATATCACCACAGCAAAAAGTTAAAAAAAGAATGTAGTTTTACAGTCTCATAGGGACTATGTTTAAACTCTAGGTCAGCTGTTGACCAATTGTGTGACCTTGGGCCAACAGCCACTCTAAGCTTCAGTTTTGTAATAATGCGTAACCCTTGACTTGATTGCAAAATAATGATTATATAAAGCACCTGGTACAGTGCCTGGTGCCTGGTAGGTGCTTGTTAGATGATAGCTATAGTTGTTGGTGTGTTATTATTATTGTTGTTGCAGCTTAGACGTGGCCTTGTTTAAGTGTGTTTTGCTCACAGACACTAGACTAAATGCCAAAACTAAAATCTACTTCCACACTCCAGATGCAGACACAGCCGGCCCTCCGTATCCCTGGGGTCCACGCTGAGGATCCGAAAAAATATTCAGAAAAAGAAATGATTCAGAATGTGATAAAGTGCTTGCAAAGACTGAGGAAGCATTCATTAATTGTGAGCATGAACAATTTACACAGCATTTATATTTTATTAGGTGTTATATAGGTTTTACTTATAACTTAGAGCTGACCATTCCTCAGTTACTTATAACTGAGCCCTGGTGGCGCAGTGGTTAAGAGTTCGGCTGCTAACCAAGAGGTCAGCCGTTCAAATCCACCAGCTGTTCCTTGGAAGCCCTATGAGGCAGTTCCACTCTGTCCTATAGGGTTGCTATGAGTCAGAATAGACTCGTTGGCAATGGGTTTTTTGGGTTAGAGATGATTTGAAGTATGCGGGAGGATGTTGGTAGGTTATATGAAAATACTATGCCATTTTATATAAGAGACTTGAGCCTCCTTAGATTTTGATAACTGTGGGCTTTGGTATTCACAGGGATCCTTGAGCCAGTTCCCCTCAGATACTATAGGAGGACTATACAAGGCATTTCTTGATAAAATTAGAAGTGGGGCCAAGCTGTGGAATACAGGCTAACCCCATAAACAAAGTATATCTGACACGTTCATTCTGCTTGTTTCTCTGATCTAGCGACTCCATGGGACCGCAGTGGTGGGAATGGACATGGTTAACTGGAGAGTCTCTACATAGTTGTTAGTTACGGTCCAGTCTGCTCTAACTCACGGTGACCTTGTGCATAACGGAACGAAACGGCGCCATCTCTACAGTCATTGGTACGTTGGAGTCCATTGTGGTGGCTGTTGTGTAATCCACCACTTTGAGGGTCTCCCTTGTTTTTGCTGACCCTCTACTTTACCAAACAGGAGGTCCTTTTCTAGTGATTGGTCTTTCCTGATGACACGTCCAGCGTAAGTGAGCCAAAGTCTCGTCATCCTCGCTTCTAAGGAACATTGTACTTCTTCTAAGACTGATCTCTTTGTTCTTGTGGCAGTCCATGGTATGTTCAGTGTTCTGTAGACTTAGCCTTATTTTCCCCAGCAACTTGTCTCCCTGTCTGTCCCCAGGCTCTTCTCATAGAGCTGTCCTCTTCATTACCAGTCTCCTTATAACTGACGGTATTAATGATTGATAGTGCTCGGTGGGTTACCCTCAGAGGGACGTTGGCTTTTGAGCTCAGCATAGAGGTCTAACTTAGCTCCAAATAACAAGCCTGTAATGAATGATTCATGTCAGACTCCCAAGTGCCTGGCACCTAGCAGGTGCTCAATAAACACTAAGTGATTAATGGAGGGACTTTCAGGTACCGTAATGGCTTGTGGAGGAGCATGCTGTAGACTGGGGACTTTCCTAGGACCATTCCAGTCACCCCACAGACAGTTCCTCAGATCAGCCCTGAGGAAGGGCGCGAGACCAGTATTTCTTTCAGGGTTCAGGCTGATTCTAGTAGGGATTTTAGGAGCCTTCAGCCCCACTGTGCTTTAGATCCATTAAAGCTTTGCTTTAGTGGGGTGGGCTCCCTGGGGGAGTGATAGAAAGCTCACCACTTAACTCACTTAAGCTTTGGCTGCCCAGGCCTGAAAAAAATGCCCTTGGGACTGCTCCTGAAGTGCCTGCGGAGAAGTTAAATGGCTTAATAGATCCTGGCAGCTTCAGAAGGACTAATGGCTCAGCGTTAATTGAGTACACCAGGTGAAGATGAATCTCGGAAAAGGTATTCCAGATTGGCCGCGCAGCTCTCACTACTGCAAAGCATCACAGCAGCTGACCCCCGAACTGATGCTGATAATTAAAGACCCAGGAAGGCTCCATATGTGCATCGGCCTTCACACTCCTGATGCACTCGTTAGTTCCCTCAACAAGCATGCAGCCAGTACCTACTAGGTGGCAGGCATTATGCCAGGGGCTAGCGACAGATGAAGTTATGGTCCCTGCCTCCAAGGAAGGCAGAGAAGGAATCAGAAAACAACGAGACAAGCACTGAGCTCTTCAGATCCAAGGAAGGTGCATAGGAAGGTAGAGACCCTGGGGACCCGTGGTGCTGCATGAGGTGGTGGGTAGCCCGGGCTGTTCCACAGTTGGTTGGGAACTGGAGAAGCAAGGGTGACCTCGAGGCAGGCAGAAAGGCGCACCTGGCAGAGGGAGCGCATGCGCACTGAGGCCCGAGAGCGTGACTCATGCAGGAAGCTGTACGCCGCACACAGGGGCAGAGGGAGCGGTGTACTGGAAAGGCGGACAGCAGCCCGCTCCCCAAGGGCCCTGTGCGCCCTGCGGAGGAGTGTTTGCTTGCACTCTGTGATGTGACAGTGAGTCACCCGAGGATTTGAAACACGGACGTGACGTGCACCTTTGCGTTGTGCAAGACACTGATAGCAGTGTGGAAATGGATGAGCAAGGGGACGAGAATAGAAGCAGGGACTCTTTTAAGGTGATTGCAAGAAAAAGATAGGAAGAGAGTGAAGGCAGAGATGGGTAGGCGGTCACACGGTGGGGCAGCTGGAGTCCGAAGTGGGGGGTTTACGTTCTTGCTGCTCTTTTTAGTAGCACACGTAGGCTCTCTGTGCTCGGTTTCCTTCCTCATAGAGAGCAACAAATGATAAATTGCCTCATAAAGATTATTTTAGGGTACTGGTGGTGCAGCGGTTAATCGCTAGTCAGCTAACCAAGAGATTGGCGAACCTACCAGCCGCTCAGCTGGAGAAAGATGTGGCAGTAGGCTTCCTTAAAGATTACAGCCTTGGAAATCCTGTGGGGCCGTTCTACTTTGTCCTATAGGGTTGCTAGGAGTGGGAATCACTCAACGGCATTTTTTGTTTGTTTGCAAATGACAGAAAATCATCTTGGACTAACCAGTTGCTAGAGTCAGTTGGGACTCATGGCGACCCCGTGAGTTTCAGAGTAGAATTGCACACCATAGCGTTTTCAATGGCTGTGACCTTTGAGAAGTAAATCACCAGTCTTTTCTTCCGAGGTGCCTCTGGGTGGATTCAAACTGCCAACCATTCGGTTAGTAGCTAAGTGCTTAACTGTTTGCACCACCCGGGGATTCCCATCTTGGACGAGCTTAGGCAAAAGGAAGAATTTATAGGAAATCTCAAGTTGCTAGGGAAAAGGCAGTGATGTGACGGTCTTCAGGGTGGTAGGAACAGTTGCTGGGAGGCTCTCTCCATATCCCCATTTCTGCCCTCTTCAGAACACTCGCACATTCCTTCCAATGACCTTCCTCCACGTGGCAGGGAGACACGACCACCAGCCACTCTCACAGGGCAGATCTTACAGCTTCACCATCGGAAGAGTCTGCAGCTCATCTTTTAGTTCCAGCTTGATAAATCCTGGAAAAAATCTTGATTGACCAGGTTGGGGTCGGGTGCTCTCCCATTGACTGCTCAATTATCGACAAAGAGTGAGATACTGTGATTGGCTCAGTTTGGGTCTGGAGCCCCTCTTCAGCCAATCAAATATGACCAGGAAGGCAGAACTCAGAAAAAAGATGGTAGCTTCCATTCAAAACAGAGGGTTGTAGTGTGGGAAAGAGCATTTCCTAAAAGTATGGGTGCAAGGGGTACAATTCCCAGAAGAAGAGAAGAGATGCTGGACAGATAAAACAATAGATCTGCATTACAAAATACTTCGTAAAACACCATACAGATGTAAGATATTGTTTACTCTTTCAGAGCAGTGCTTTAAAAAAGAATTGTGGCAAAATGCATGTAATATTTGCCATTTTAACCATTTTTAAGTGTACTATTTGGTGACATTAATTACACTTACAGTGCTGTGCCGCCATCCCCACTGTCTTTTTCCAAGATTTTTTCATCACCCCAAACAAAAACCCGGTATTTGTTAGGCAATAACTCCCCTTTCTCCCCAGGCCCTGGTAAGAGTGGTATTTTTTTTATTTATCTCTCTGGAATTAGTGCATAGAATAGTTACTGGCACATAGTAGGGACTTCATTAAAAATATTATTGAGTTAGTGGATAGCATGTATGAATCAGCTTTATGCAGGAGAGTTAAATTTTATGCAGGATTAGGTTATGCAGGGATTGATTAATGTGGAAATCACATGTAATCAATATAACCCTTGAAACCTCCCCAGGGCGGTACCACGTTGAAAAACCGCATGTCGTCACGCAGTAAGTTTGACAGAAGCATTTTTCCTCCAAGTTGGAACACATCACTGTTTCCTTTGGTTGGACACCAGATGAAGCAGTGCCTTTCACTTAAGGGTAATGCTTTATGAAAAAATGCATGAACATCAGAATCCCATTCAGCATGATGGGAGCAGGAGGGAACAATGGATTCACTTCTTGTATCTCAGGCTCTCTCTGGATGTGGGTACATTGAGTGGAAAGACAGGTGGACTTGCTTGCCTTATTTAGTTATTTTTCTCTTACATTGTTGAACAAATGTAGTTGAAATTACGTAAATTAAATGGGTATTTAGTGTCATATTTTCTTGTTTATGTATTTATATGTTGTCTTGTGTTCATCTATAGGAATGTGTATTCAATGAGTTGGGAAGCCTGGCTGCCTTGTTCACTACAGACTCTCCAATGTGTATACCCATGCCTGGCACCTATTGAAAAACAAACAAACTAGTTGCCATCAAGTCTACTCCAACTCATGGTGACCCCATGTGTGCAGAGTAGAACTGTGCTCTATAGGGTTTTCAATGACTGTGGTCTTTCTAAAGTTGATTGCCAGGCATTTCTTCCAAGGTGCCTCTGGGTAGATTTGAACAACTAACCTTTTGGCTAGTAGCTAAACGCTTAACAGTTTGCTGCACCCAGGGATTTGGCACAGAGCAGGCCCTCAATAATTACATGTTGAAGGAATGATTTCACTGCACCAGGCACAGTGCTTGGTACTAAAGAGGTGGAGATAAGGAGACCAGTGAAACTGGTCCTGCCCTCAGGGCACAGTCAATCTAATAAAGGAGATAAGACCTAAGATGCCTAAAAATACATGAAAAGACAATAGTACCAAGCAAGGAATGTTAATGCCCAATGATTAGTAGAGGAAAATGTTCTCATGGACTCTTAGTGGAAGTAGGACTTCCTAGAGAACTTAGGATTTGAACTGGGCGTTCCTGTCTCATCCATCTCTGGGAACTGTCCTGGTTTTTTCTGTAAACCCCATCCTGTTATCTCTAGGAACTGTCCTCATGGTTTTTTCTGTAAACCCCAACCTGTCTGCTTCTCCATTCATCCAGGCAGGTTTGTGTTTTCCTACAGCCTGGGGCAAATTCTACCACAAGGGTTTGCTTCAACTTTTGGCTGGTGCCTGGAGCCAGCCTCCTTGGGACCCACTTGCTCAGGGATGTGAATTTTACTTCAAGGTAATGCTTTATGAAAAAATACATTAACATCAGAATCCCAGGGTGGGGAGGGATTCCCAGCTGGCACTGACTGACCATCAGTGAATACCAAGGCTGATAGCAGGTTTCTCTTATCTGAGCTTGGGCAAGCCTGACATTGTAATGAGTGATCATGACAATTAGGTCATGACTTGGTGACAACCGCCAGGGTGGGGGTGGAGGTGGAAGAGTTTCTTACATTCCTTTCTCTCCCTTAGCCTACCCCTGCTTTGGGGAGGAGGACCCTGGGCTGTCCTGACTGCTCGTTTGAGTATATGACCCTAATTCTAAAGCAGAGCTGCTGAGGACAGTCCCCACCTTTATCCTTACAAATCTATCTGAGGAACAGCAACGCTCCCTTTTCTGCTCCCACAGGCAAGGGAGGAACAAAGGCTACACACTCCGACCCACCTGCTCTGGTCTGTAGGAGTTTCTCTGGCAGTGGCTTTAGACTCACGTACTGATAAAGGTCACGTAGCTGTGATCACGGGCGAGCCTCAGGGTGGTCTAGCTGCTAGATGTATGCTGCCGAGGGAGGCAGCTCCCAGATTCATCT